AATTCATTAGTGACACTTTTAATAAAAATTTAAAATTGCAGAACTTTTACTTAAATTCTCTTTTGTTACCTCTGTGTCTTCATTATTTCTTTTCTTTTTTTTTTTTTTTTTAAATATATTTTATTGATTTTTTACAGAGAGGAAGGGAGAGAGATAGAGAGCTAGAAACGTCGATGAGAGAGAAACATCGACTGGCTGCCTCTTGCACACTCCCTACCGAGGATGTGCCCGCAACCAATGTACATGCCCTTGACCGGAATCGAACCTGGGACCTTTCAGTCCGCAGACCGACGCTCTACCACTGAGCTAAACCGGCTTCGGCTTCATTATTTCTTAAATAGAATTCTGATTCATAATTATCTAGTCTGACGTACACACATAACAATTTCACAATGACAATGTAAGTACTAATATTATTGAAAATATTAAAATTTTACATATCATCTCCTTTTTTTCTTATTTAAAAATAGTTGTATTATGTGTATATTGTCAGAAAATATAGCTAGTATGTAGTGTATTCTTTCCTTAGCCTTCATTAATTTTTATTCTACAAGTAACCCCAGGCGCTTTCTGTTGATGTCTTTAGTCATTTTGGTTTCCTGAAGCTTATCCTTTAGTATAGGAGTGGACAAACTTTTTCTCTAAAGGTCCAGACAGCAAATTCTTTTGTCTTTGTAGGCCATACGATCTCTTATAAGTACTCAGCCTTATCCTGGTGGTGAGAAAGTAGTCATACAACATGTGAACTAATGAGCCTGGCTGGTCTTTAATAAACTGTTTTTCAGTTTTATATAATTGCCACATACCATTATATAATGTTTATAAAAATTTTTTTTAAACAATAAAAAATATAAAATTTATTCTTAGATTGTGGACTATACAGAAACAGGTAGCAGGCCTGATGTGTCCTGCAGACCATAGTTTGCAAACCTGTCCTGTTAGGTTCCTCAAAAAGAAGTCATGAGTTCTTGCTTGTTATATTTTTCCTGACCTTTATACTTGTTCTTATTGGATTTAAAATTTTTGTTTCATATTTTCTTTTCTTGAATATCTTATTCAGTGGAGTAAATTCTGGCCTTACGTTCTAAATCACACAAATGAATTTGGTAAAGAACTCAGGACTTTTGAAACATGCTCCATACTATCTTATGTTGACCTCATCCTTGCTTTTTTGGTCAAAGAATTATGAAAGTCAGCTAGGATACTTCTTTTTTAAAAAAAAAAAAATTACTGATTTTGGACAGAGAGAGAGAAACATTGATTTATTGCTCCACTTATGCGTTCATCGATTGCTTTTTGTATGTGCTTTGACTGGGGATTGAACCAGCAACCATGGTGCATTGGGATGATGCTCTAACCACCTGACTTACCTGGCCAGGGCAGGATACTGCTTTTTAATTTTGCTTTAATTCCTTTCAAAGGTTAACACAGGGAGTACTACCAAAATATATAGATATATAGGAAGTTAGTTCATTGAAACATCAATTCAAGTTACCTGGCTTACTACTAGCTGTTTTTTATTGTGTTGAATGAACAAAGAATAGTCACTAAATACTTGATGTGAGCTTTTTTCCTGGTAATTTTACATTTGGAGGTCATTTTCTTCCAATTAAAATGCTTGAGAAAAATCTGGTAAATCAGTGGTTCCTAGTCCTTGGGCTCTTATTAATCAGAAGTTTTACTGTATAATCATAATGTATTTTAGGTGTTCTCATTTATGTTCTTCAACTCTTTTTCAGTGTAGGCATCCTGATTACTTGATTACATCTGCCTGTCAGAGTGGTATTTAAAACAGCATTTATAATAAAAATACCTTCATTTTAGATTGTCAAATGAGAATATGTAAAGACAATTGATAGTTGGAACATAATTATTTTCTCATGACTTCGTGTTTAGTGCATTGTAGATTTGGGATAAAAAGAATGAATATGATTATTGCTGTGGTCTAAAATGACTAGCTTATCAGGATGGAGACATAGAGTATGTGGAGACGTAGGCCTATCACCACTTCCCCTCTGACAGAGCAGCTCTGCTTTTCATGGTGTTTTATATTATGTGTGTGGGTTTTTTTTGTTTTTGTTTTTGTAATGAAAAAAAAAAGTCTTTCAATCAGACTTGTAAGATAAGGTTCTACTAATAAAATTACACAAACATTTGATGGATCATCCTCTATGGCTGAAAGTTTGCTTATCTAGCATTCTGCCATTTGTGGCAATTGTAGGTATTTGGGATCCTATAATGTATTTGGGGATCTGGAGAACCTCGCTGTCTTATTCTAGTGTTCTCTTTTTATTAGGACTTCTGGACAGGGGACAAGAACTAAGTATGGCTCTCAGCTTGGTATTTTTACATTATTATTTTATTCAGTCCTTCAGTCAAACTTGCAAGGTGGTTATTATCCTCATTGTTACACAAAGAAAAGGATGCTTTAAACTCAGAATCTAAAAATGCCTCTTTCGATCAACTGAAAGACTTGTATACATGCATATAAGTACAACCAATGGACACAAAACTCTGGGGAGGGAGGGTATGTATGGATGGGGGCAAAGGTAAGATATGTACACAGATAATAATTTAATAAAAAATTCATTAGTAAAAAAATAATAAAAAAAATAAAAATGCCTCTTTCCTTGTGTCTTGCTTTTGGATGGGGGGTGAGGGTGAGTGGGAGGGGAAAGAATACATCCTGATTTAAAGACATTAGCTTTTATACACATTTTATCTGAATGATTTCATGTACAACTTTTAATCGCCTCCTACTTTGGATGCCTTTAAAAATTCATATGTCAGCCTGGACTTATAACTTCTAGCCTTCTCTCTCTGCCTCCTGAATATGGCCATCTGACTACCTCACAGGCATTTGCACTCAGCCTGTGCATAGTTGAAGTTGTCATCTCACTTGTCTCCTCATATATTTCTTTTGTTGCTTCTCTGTTTTACTTTCTCCTAAGGGTGGATTTAATCTGCTTGGACAATAATGGCTGAGAGAGTGATCTGAGTAACACATTGCATTGCAGTAGGTTTTCTGGGTAATTGTCTCCTCAGGAGAATGAAGCTCCTGTCCTAAGCCAAGAGTCCTCTCAGAAAGCAATGCCAATAGATAGAATATGAAATGTAAAATGCGCTATTTCTCCTTTATGCTGACTGAAGGTCACGGGAAAACCAGCAGTTAGGCACCTTACTCTGATGATGCCTATCATACAATTTAGTCTTCCTCCTTCATATTGAACCTCAGTTCTTTACCTAATGACCTCATTTTTGTACCTCAGCAAACCCTTCCTTTACTTCTCTAAACCATGCCCTCTAAAGACATTAATTATATAGTATTTTTTTGTTCCCAAATTAGTATTATCTTCATTAGTATTTTGTTTATTATAATACTAGAGGCCTGGTGCATGAAATTCGTACCTCAACCTGGCCTATGTTCTTGTGATCCATCGCCTATGTTCTTGTGATCCATCGCCCTAAAGAGGTAGGTCCGCCCACCTGGCCAGGGCTCCACGATGGATCACCCCATAGAGATAGGCCCCTCCCATCAGCTGCAGCCCAACAGTCAGTGGCCTGGGCCTTACTCTTTGGGGTGATTGTATGGCCCCCTGATTGATCGATTACCCTGCTAGCCAGTGGCCTGGGCCTTCCTCTGCAGGGCAATCATGGGGTGATTGCTGGACCCCCAACCAATCACATTGCACTTGCCTTGGCTGGCCTGGTGCCAGTGGGTGTCACAGCATGGTTGTCCAGACAATTGTTCTGCTGTTTGGTTGATTTACATATTATGCTTTTATTATTATAGATAAACACAGAGATATAGATCCATTTCTGGATTTATGCTGAGATTTTTTTTTTTTAATGTGTGCGCACTTTTTTTTTTTTAATATATTTTATTGATTTTTTACAGAGAGGAAGGGAGAGGGATAGAAAGCTAGAAACGTCGATGAGAGAGAAACATCGACCAGCTGCCTCTTGCACACCCCCTACCGGGGATGTGCCCGCAACCAAGGTACATTCCCTTGACCGGAATTGAACCCGGGACCTTTCAGTCCACAGACCGACGCTCTATTACTGAGCCAAACCGGTTTCGGCGAGAAATTTTTATTGATATAACTCTATCTGGTAAATTTCCACTGTATTCTTGATTTCTTCCTAGTAGTCACAACGATATAAACATTCTGAATTTTATCTGTTTCTCTGAGAAATTAGTGAACTGTTCACATTCCTTTGAATTAGCTGATATCCTGTGACTTTCATTTATATTATCTCCTACATTTAGTGCAGAGCCTGGCCCAGAGTTGGTATTCATTCAAAATGGATACTTGTGTTGAACTATGCATTGTGCTATATTGAGAATACAAAGATTTATAAGGCATTAAAAAGTAAATTTACTGTCTAGATTGTAGGGTTCTATCTATCTATCTATCTATCTATCTATCTGCCATCTATCTATATAAAAGCCTAAGTGACCGTTATGACTAGACAACTGATCAGTAGCTATTATGCGCACTGACCACCAGGGGATATACACTTAATGCAGGAGCCGCTCCTGGTGGTCAGTGCTTTCACAGTCAACCACCTGCAGCCAGCCAACCTCCTGCAGTCCCTCCCTCCAGCTGCTGATCGGAGAAATGGCATCGATCAGTCCCAACCACTGGCCAGGCTGAGAGACTCCTCTCATGCATGAATTTGTGCACCAGGCCTCTAGTATATAAATATAATGCCATAGAAGTTACTTTTCCAAAGAATTCTGTTAATATCAAACGAGTTCTTATTGTTTTTATTTTTTTCTTGACCTTAACTTTGTTTCATATATCTTTGTGCACATTTACTATACACACTACAGTATTATATATTTTAATATATTGCCTGAAACGCTTGCTTTCAAATTGTTTTTGGTATGTAAGTAATTAGTAAGTTTATATATAGGTCTTTCTTTTTAAAAATTGTGACTCCATATCAAGCACCATAATGTTTTTGTTACAAATTTCTACTTTATTTCTCCACAGGCAGCAGAAAATGTCGTTTTCATTGGACCTGACACACATGCTATTCAAGCTATGGGTGACAAGATTGAAAGCAAATTACTAGCTAAGAAAGCAAAGGTTAACACAATTCCTGGCTTTGATGGAGTAGTCAAGGTGAGAATCTATTTTACTCTAGTCTTTATAGCACATGTTCTCAGTGTAAGAAATAATGCAGTTCTTGCTTTTATAAATATACATGTGTAGCTAAAATGTCAATGTTGTTTACACTTGAATTATTTTAAGTGGCATAAGTTAAAAAGAGGAAGAAGCCACTTAAGCATTGTATTTAAAGATCGATATTGGCTTATACTTTCACAGGAAAAAACAGTGATTTAAAAAATGTGCTGTCAGATCTCTGGATTTTATTTATGGTGGTATATATTTAATATTTGAAATCTTATGATCTGTATATCTTTATATTGAGCTTTCATTCATATGCATAAAATGTGCAGTGTAAATATGCTTCTGGTGGAAAGTGGTATAACTATGAATGACTATAGATCCCAAACATAACTCCTGAACTAGCAAGCAGCTTCTGTAGGCGAAGGCTTCTAAGGCAGAATGCAGACATTGCTCTGTTCCAACCCCCATGTAGATTTTAACCTTGCAACTAGCGTTAGTCTGAAAGAAGTTTCCATCTCAGTGTTTCTTATTGTTCCTTTTTGGACTGGGTAGTTCCTTGTGCAGGATCATTTCATGCATTGCTTGGTCCCTGGTTATTAAAATTTTTAGCTTCCTTCTAACCACTATGCTTACACCTGAAACTAATATGAAATAATATTGAATGTAAACTGCAATTGAAAAAAAAAATTAAAGAAGAAAAATATTTTCAGCTTCTTGCTCATATTTACCTAAATCTTTATTTATCCACTCTCCCTCCACATCACCCCACCCCCTTCTCTCTTCATAACCTTTATAGCCTTTAGGGACTACAGTCTTCACTGATTTACTTTTCTCCTTTCCGTATCTTAAAGCTCTCCTTTGTTTTTTGTCTCCTTTCCTTTACAATTGAGATAAAAAATGCTTGGTCACTCAAGAAATGTACTGATCCCTGACTAAGAGGGAAGGATGTAGTGATAAATGAGGAACCCATGATCCCTCACATGATTGCGTTTCCAATTTAATGGAACGAAATATGTGTTCCTTCTCGTCATAGAACATTATAACCCTTGTCTCTCTTCAGTTGTTATCTTAGTTCTCTCTTCCATTTCACAGCCAACATGCCTTAGAAGAATTCTCCTCACCCTCATTTCTATTTTTTATTTTCAAAATACAGTTGACATACAATATTACATTAATTTTAGGTGTACGACATGATTAGCCATTTATGAAGTGATCACCCTATATCTCTAGTACCTATCTGATACCATACAGAGTTATTACAATACTAAAAGCCCAGTGCACGAATTCATGCACCAGTGGGGTCCCTCAGCCTGGCTGAGTGTCCAAAAGATCCCAGCATCTGATCTCTATCTAAGAGCCAGCAGAAAGATGGGGCCCACTGTCCTATAACCACAAGGAAATAAATTTGTCAACCTTGGGAACGAGCTTAAAATTGTCCCAGTTTCACCTCTAATTGAAAATGCACTATGGCCCACACCTTGCTTGTAGCTTGAAAGACACTGAGCAATACATGACAAATCTTTGCTTCATTAGGCTGTCAATTTTTAGATTTTAGACCTTTACCTCCTCATTTTAGAGAGTTGTGCAAGTTTGTGTAGTGGTTTGAATAGATCATTATGAACCTTGAGCTTGTCAACCCCAATATTTCTGCCATTATAATAGTTTTGTTTTGTTTTTCTAACAATAAATTTGAATTTCTTTAAATCTTCAATTTGGGCTTGATTTAATCACAAGGGTAGTAATGAATCTGAATCTAAATTAATTCTGTCTTGATGAAGAATGGCAGAGTCCTCAGGGTGTTCAAGAAGGGGTCATTAGTAGAGGATTTGATCTGGAATTTCTATTTGTACAGTAGATTCTATCTTATGAAGTCAGTGAATGTAATGTCTCATAGGAAGAAGGAATGTTCCTTGAATAAAAGTGCAAAGGTGACCGTTGTGGGCTGGGACATCGGAAATGTGAAGAGTGTCAGAGATACACATTATCTGAGCACTTTGTTGACTCAGAGAGAGAAAGCTTGTGTAACAATGGCAGGGTTTAAGGTTAATAGTGTACTACTTGTATTAGTAATTAATAATTAGTAAAATTTCTTCTTTTGAGTTGATGGGTAAAATGGGAAATAGGTATTTGATTTGAAGATCTGACAATGTGGGTAGTTCCATCCAGGTTTTGCTTGTTTATGATATTTTCTATTTCTGGCTTACGGCTGCTCACAAAATGTGAGGAGAGAGCCAGGGTCACAAATGCTTTGGGGTCTACTCCTAAGTGCTGCCTAAAGATATTAAAGAGCCCATCTCTGAAGTTTCCAATGGACTTATCCTTTCATTGCTAGTATAATCTATTTCCAGTGGAAAGATTTTGGTAGTAGCCTGCCAGGGACATTGTGCATCATTTACAGTTTTACTAAGTCTGATTTCCATTGTAATTAGAAGTCTCAAGTCCCTCTCATGGTCTTTCTGTTCTCTTCTTTAATCTAATATTTTATGTGAGGTTCTACTAGAAATATGAGTAAAGTGATAGAAATCTAGGGACTCCAGATTATACTTTCCTTGAGTATTTTCAACTTCTCTGTAAATTTCTATTTTGTGTAGGTTTTGAAAAGTCTTTGTTAATGCCTCTCAGTTCAGAATGAGACCAAGTCTTTAATTCAGCTGCAGAGGCCCTGTTCTAACAGGGCTTAATTTAAAAAGGAAATGATGCTTTGAGGGTTTCTGGCCAGCCAGAAAAAAAAAAGGGAGCAGGATAGAGGACCAGGGAGGAGCATAGGATGGAAAGGAATAGCAGGATAAAGATCATCAGGTTTAAGAAAGTTTGAAGTTTTCACTGGGCTTTTCCTATGTCTTTCCTCCTCCTATGAACTTGTCTTCCCTGTAAGGAAACAATTTTGAAATCTGAATTATTTTTTGAAGCTTTCTCATTTTAATAAAAAAAAGCAGAACACTAGGTATTTGAGATATTGCTTCCTTTTTTTTTATTTTTTTCCTGTAAGGTACCTCTTAAATGAACCATTCATATCAATGGTTTATAGAAAGAGTCTACTAGGAGGAGGTAGGAAAGGGAGTGGGATTTGGAAAATCTATAATACTGTCAATAAAATTAAAAGAAAAAAGAATTTTCTATAATTCTAAATGATTCTTAGTGAAATTTTGTCATTTAGAAACAAGCTTGTTTTATACTTAAGATTAAATATCTTGGCAACTATATTATATTCTACTTTCTTTCACCAAGTAATTTTTACCTCTGACTTGAGCAAATTAATGTGGCTTCATTTTGTTACATTTGTCATTAAATTTTTTTCCCTAATTTGAATATTTAGAACGTTTTATGGAGGTTACATGGAGATGGTTTACCACACTCTTTTAAAAACCATGTGCAATAATCCTTAATAATAAAAGCATAATATGCTAATTAGACCAGACAAAGCAGGGGCTTCGAGGGAAGCCCAGGTCCTGTGTGCCTGCTGGTGGCTTGAGAGAAGCCCGGGTCCCAGGTGCCAGAGGGAAGCTTGAAGTTTGAGTAGTAATGAGTTAGTTAAAAAGTGAGGATGATGATGGAGACACAGCTCTACGGTCAGTGAAAATAATCCTATTGTAAAATCTTGGGGCTGCGGGAGTATGTGGGCTTTAGAAAACTGCTGGGATGCAGTGTGAGGTCTGTAGTAAATGAGCTGGAAATAGATTTAAGATTCAGATATGTATGACTTGAATGTTGTGCGACTGGGTTTGGAGGTTTATTCTTGTGGCTTTGGGGAGCCTCTGAATGGAGAAAAGTTAAATGATAGAAAAGTTAACATGATACAGTTGTGGAAATGGAAAACTTACTTTGGTTGGTGACACAGGAATTGTACAGGAGCAGGTTGGTATATGAATTAGAGTGCTCCTTCTTTAACCCACCCAAGAAATGATAAGGGGCTTAAAATAACATATCTGGATGGAGCCAAGTAGATGATTGGAGAGAGATGGGAGAAGTTGAGTCTGTAGGATCATGTGATCTCTTAGATGGCGGATGTGAAGCAGAGGGAGGAGTCACTAATGATTAAATTGCTGCATTTGACTGTAATCCTTATCAGCTTATCATCTTGGGGGTAATTCATTAAACTTGTCTTGAGTTCCTGTTTTCCTGAGAGAAAGGAATACCCATTTACATCTCAGAGCAGAGTATATCATAGTAATGTATTTGAATGAGGTTTATAAAGTGTAAGTTTAAAATAGTAATTGTTTTTATCACTCAATTCACCAGATTTTATGTTATTTTACTTATTTAATACTCACCTGAGGATATTTTCCCATTGTTTTTAGATAGAGTGGAAGAGGGGCTGGAGAAAGAGGGAGAAAGGAAGAGAGAAACATTGATGTGAGAGTTGACACATCTATTGGTTGCCTCCTGCACATGCCCTTCCAGAACTAGAGATTGAGCTTTTAGCTGAGATACATGCCCTTGACTGGGAATTGAACCCAAGACTCTTCAGTGTGAGAGCTAACACTCTAACCACTGACCCAAATTGGCCAGGACAGCTAATTAGCCAGATTTTAAAAATGGTGCTCTTGCTTTAGCTGAAAGAGCAGAATAACAAGAACAGAAACTACTGTGAAGTAAATCATTAAAAAGAAAACCACAAAAATTGAAAAGCTGAGTCCTAATAATTACAAAGTACGGTATTATCCCTTTTCTCTGCTAAACCAAGAATAACTTTTCTGATGATGCCACAAAGACTTTATAGTTTTTTGGGGAAAAAATCAGTTATATTTACTGTGTTGTTTTGCAATTATAGAAACATATAGTAAATTTTAGAAAGATTAAAAAATATATTAAAACAGTCTTTTGCTTGACTCACAGTTATCTGGAAAAACAGTCAGCTGGAACCTATTTCCTGAACCTGCGATTGTTGAAAGTTTTACTTTACTTTATATATGAATGCAGAATAGTTTGAAGATTTTTTGTGTGTGTATAGATAGAGTACTATAGTGTCTTGAAACAATGATTTGATTTGA